CACTTGGAGTCTGAGCGGCTTACAAACTCCTTTCCCTTCCGTTCCCAACAGACACCCTGTGAGGTGGGTGGGGCTGAGAGAACTCTTGACAGAAACTGCTCTTTTTCAAGGACAGCTGTGCCAGAGCTTGTGACTGACCCAAGGTCACATCAGCAGGAGCAAGTGGAGGAGTGGGGAATCAAACCCGGTTCCTCCCAGATTAGAGTCCGCGCACTTAACCACTACACCAAACTGGGAGCGCGTGACTGCCCCGACGTCACCCACAAACCTTCCGTGGCAGAGTCGAACCCAGATCCCTGAGACCTTAGTCCTGTACTCTAATCGCTACCCCATGCTGGCTGTCATGGTGAAGCCAGTAGAACTGTTGCGCCGGGGAAGGAAGCTTTCTAGCCATGACCGGGCTTTCCTGGTCTTCTGTTTTGGATCCTGTTTGCCGATCAGGCGTGGCACTTGAATAGTTTTGCATTACTGTCTAAATATTTGCTGTGCTGTTTGACTGTTTCAACACGCAGAAAGGCTCTCCAGCTCTAAGACTCCCGCACTGCAGGTGACGAGGCCTGTTGCGGGGGGTCCCCTAGACCGCAACCAGGGGCCCCACGGCACCCGCCAACATCTTCCTTGGCACCCGCCAAGCGTTTTTAGAAAGTGGAGTATTTGCCCAGGAAGGCTTTGGATGGGTCAGTGGAGATCTGATTGGCCGTGCCGATTTTTGTTAATGTCTATTTCGCCCCCTCAACCTAAATGACCTTATATCGCAAGGAGAGGTAAAGCTCACCAGAAGGGATTATTCACACAAAGCCCCAAGAACTGTCCTCAAACCGGGAGCAGTAAACCCTGGACTCCTACTGAATCTTACACATGGATTCAATTGCAGAAAAGTAATTTTCTCTCTTGGTGTGTATATAAGATGACCTACAGATATGTGGAGTTTGATGTAGCAGTTAGGAGCATGGACTCTAATCTGGGAGGACTGGGTTTGATTCTCCACTCCTCCACATGCAGCTGCTGATGTGACCTGGGGTCAGTCACACATTCTCTCAGAGCTGTTCTCTCAAGAGCAGTTCTCTCAGAGCTCTCCCAGCCCCCCCCCTACCTCACAGGGTGTCTGTTGTGGGGCGGGGAAGGGAAGGAGATTGTAAGCCACTCTGAGACTCCGAGTGAAGGGTGGGGTATAAATCCAATCTCCTCCTCCTTCTCCTCTTCTTCTTCTTCTCCTCCTCCTCCCCCCTCCTTCTCCTTCTCCCTCTGCACTTGCACAGCGAATGCTATTTTACTTTGGGGGAAATTACCCCCCTCCCCGTATATTCTTTTTAAGAGTTCAGATTTTTCTGCAAACTTGGGGGGGGGGGGGTAACCAAGTTTGCAGAAAAATCTGTTTGGTGTAACTGCGGCCCCAATCTGCTGATTTAGGTATCCGCAGATGGAGGCCACACTTGGGAAATAGGTATATATGTATGTATCAGGGGTGTCAAACATAAGGCGGCCCATCTAGACCTCTAACCCGGCCCACAAGCAACAGGTATGTATAGAAATGTAAGGTACTCCCCCTTTTATGGTTTGTTGTTGTTGTTCAGTCGCACAATCGAGTCCAACTCTTCGCGACCCCATGGACCATATCACGCCAGGCCCTCCTGTCTTCCGTCGTGCTCCGGAGTTGGCTTAATTTCATGTTCGTTGCATCGATAACACTGTCTAACCACCTCATCCTTTGCCATCCCCTTCTTCTTTGACCTTCAATCTTTCCCTTTTATGGTATCCGTTAGGGGAAAATCTACTCTTGTATATAATTAAATACATTTATTGAGGCTTTTGTGGGTTCCCTAGTAAATCAACTGCTTTCGCTGCTAGGCATCAATTGCTTTTGTTTGTATTTAGAGTAAAAAAATAATATTGTTACTTAGGTTTGTCTGTGTCCTTTATAAAGTTTATATCTCCGGTACCTGGCATTACATTTTATGGAACACATGGCCCGGCCCAACAAGGTCTCATTTATGTCAGATCCTGCCCTTATAACAAATGAGTTCAGCACCTCTGATATAGATAATAAATCTACAACAATCTCAGTTTTGCCTTTTGGCAATACTAAAGGAAGCGGGAGGTCGCTACCGTTTAATGTCCTGCATCACTTGTTTTCTGTTCCACCAACAGGGACCACAGTTCTTCTGCTACGGATCTCGGATGCAACTGCCCACAGGCTGTGGGAAAACCGGCACCCCCACGGCACAGCAGGGCAAAATCCCGGGAGACAGCAGACACCACCGGGACGGAGCAAGGGCGAAAAAAGCCCCCCCGGGCCGGCCGAACAACGGCTTCGTTCCCGGCAAACTCGCCCAACCCGGCCGTCTCCCCCAAGGTCACGTCCAAGGGACGGGCAGCTTCTCGAGAGCGACCGGGGGGGCGCTGTCCCCGTTCCAAGAAAGCCAGAGGGTGCCGGAAGAAATAAGGACACCGCTGGGCATCCCTTTGTCCAAACTGTCCCAATCTAAACACCTGAAGAACAGGGCGTCCCAGTTGTCCGATCCTAAGAGGAAACCCTACGGAACTGGCAGCCGCAAGGACCAGTAAAACCGGGAGAGGAGAGGTCCCTCCAGACCCACTGAGTCTTCCCGACTGAGCCCGGTAGTCCAGGAACCTGCGGAAGGAACTCCTGCTGTTGTACGTCCGATGGGCGGGGAGAGGGGGAAAGAGGTGGTAATTATATACCTGGTCTGTGCACCAATACCAGGTGGCCAGAACGGAGAGGCCGAACGTCATGCCAGTCCAGGGCAAGTCGTCGGAGCCAGGTTCCTGAAACAGGTGCAGGGCGTCAGGCCGGGGCCGGTGGCAGCTGGTGTTGGGGATAATCGTGGAGGGGACGGCGTTCAAGTAGGCCTCTTCCAGGTTGCGGTAGCCCCCGATTTTGTCGAAAGCTGAAAGGCAAAGATGGGGGGGGGCAATTAAAATCGAAAAGGGGATGACGAGATGGCGGCCAGACCGTCAAAAGGGCTTGTGTTTGAGCACGCCTCCGACTGGCTTCTTATCGTAACTATCTCTACAAGCCGGGTTGCCAGCCTCCAGGTGGGGCCTGGACATCTCTCAGAACGACAACTTGTCTCCAGACAACAGAGGTTAGTTCCCCTGGAGGAAATGGCCGCTTTGGAGGGTGGACTCTACAACATTATGGCCCGGGCGAGGGCCCTCCTCTCCCCCAAACCCCCCCTCCCCACGCTCCACTCCCCCAAATCTCCAGGAATTTCCCAACCCATAGCTGGCAACCAATGCTCCCTCTAAGCTGTGTAGTCCTGTGAGCAAAAATTCTACTTTGAGAGCCACTGGCATTGAAGTCGTGAGTGAGCAATTATCAGTTTGCTCTGGAGCCCTCCCTTCCTGAGCTAAGACAATAATGTGTGAGCCGGAGGCAAAAAATACTGTGAGCTGGCTCACACTGACTCAGCTTAGAGGGAACACTGCTGGCAACCGTATCGACAAGGGATTTGGGGAAGGGATGGAAATGGGCAGTGGGGAACGGAAAGGGAGGAACCAGGAAGTCTACTCGATAGAAGGACACACGCTTTATTTATCAGAGAATCCCCTCTATGCAGTTTGCACAGTTCTGCCTCCTCTGAGAAAAGCATTTCTTGGATGGGTTTTTTGCGATGGCCCAGGATACCTGGTATTAAAGGGAACAGATATCCCCGAGCGGCAAACTCGTTCTTTTACGAAGGACATTACTGAGGATGCACAACGCTTGCCAAAACAGTATTGTACGTCATTCCCCCCCCTTCTACCAATGTTCCCTCTAAGCCGTGGAGTCTTGTGAGCAAAAAATCTTCTTTGTGAGCTGCTGGCATTAAAGTCGTGAGCGAGCGAGTTGCCTACTGCATAAATCAGTTTGCTCTGGAGCCCCATCCTTCCTGAGCTAAGACAAAAATCTGTGAGCCGGAGGCTAAAGAACTGTGAGCTAGCTCACACTAACTCAGCTTAGAGGGAACACTGCCTTCTACCCTCACCAACACTGCAAAATGCACAACAGAGTGTCATTAGGCCGGGGGTCTCCAGGAGTTTCCCAGGCTGGGTCTGGCAACCCTATACGTCCCCCACCAACACTCCCTCTAAGCTGTGGAGTCTCGTGAGCAAGAATCCTACTTTGTGAGCTCCTGGCATTGAAGTTGTAAGTGAGCGATTTGGATGCTGCATGAATCAGTTTCCTCTGGAGCCATCCTTCCTGAGGTAAGACAAAAATGTGGGAGCCGGAGGCTAAAAAAGTGTGAGCTCACTCACACTAACTCAGCTTAGAGTGAACTTTGCATCCTTTACCCCGGAAATCTTTTTTGTTTGTATTTTGTGTGTGTGTGTGTGTGTGAAATTCAGAGAGGTGGCTAAACAAAGCCTGCCCCCCATCTCCTGCCTCTGGTATTCCGAGGAGGTCTCCCATCCAAGTACTTCCCAGAGCCAACCCTGCTTAGCTCCCAAGATCTGAGGAAACTGGGCTTGCCTGGGCTATCCAGGTCAGGGCCCACCCCGGAAACATTGTTGGTCTTCAAGTTTCTACTGGTCTTGAATCTTGCAAACCACGTAGAGGTACATTTGGGCACGCCAGAATTTTCCAGAGCAAGCTGTCTCCTTCCCTAAATAAAACACCCATCTTCGCAAGACGAGCAAAGCCCTGGGCCGGAAGCACCCACAAACACCGCAGAGAAAAGCCACTATTTAGAGAAAGTGAATTGTGTCACAGGGATCGGCGGGAGAGATTTAGAGTCTTCTGTGGCAGGCGCCAACTGGGATTAACGATTTCGGGCCTTTTCGGAGCCTTGTCACGGCAACCGAGCAGGTGAGCTGACCGAAGGAGGGCGTGGGCGCTGTCTCCGCACCGGCCGTGCCCACTCCGTGTTGTGGGTTTTTTTGGAATTGCTCAAAAAGAGTAAGCTTTTAAAGTCCTAGGGCTGAACCAAGACATTGTAGTGACTAAGGCAGGAAATCCCAGTTGGCTACACACATATGGTCATTAACGCGGGGTCCAAGGTTCCTCCACGCAGGTCCCGCCCAAAGAAACAGGAGACGTGCGAGGGCACCGCTGGTGTGCACTACCTTTCTGTAGATTTGGGCTCTGTGGGTCAGATCCATCCTAAACGTCACCTAAATTGGCTGCCCGTGAACTTTAGATTTGAAATGGCCTGTACTAAGGCTAGTTCAGGTGGGTCGCCATGTTGATCCGAAGCAACAGAGCAAAGTTTGAGTCCAGTGGCACCTTTAAGACCAGCAAAGTTTAATTCTGGGGATAAGCTCTTGTGTGCCGGAAGACAGACATTATTCTGGTCACATACAGTGGGAGGCCACACAAAATAAGAGGTTCGCACATGGCGCCATACCCCTCGCGCACGGTCAGATCGGCAAAATCATAACTATGGAACAGCAGTAATGAGATACACATTCGATCCCTTAAGTAAGAACCCAATGCATGCAAGAGAGTCATCCTCGCCTTTGCAAAAGAATATTCAGTTAAGAACACAAACAACCCTCTCTGCTGGTCCTTTCCCCCTGGGAAAAGATACCCGCAAGTCATTGCCCACGCAAGGGCAGGCATGCGGATCGGGTCTCTGGCAATGTGACCCAAAACAGAGGTCTGCCCTTCCAAACCCCACGGGACTTCAACAAGCAGGGCATCCAAGTTCTCCGACCTCCCACTGAGAGACCTGCTTGCCCGTCCTTTACTGAATTCTGCAATTCAGAATACGTTTCGCAAAATCCCATTAAAAACTGGCAGTCATGCGGCAAGTCAGCTGGCAATTAATTTAATTAGCCTCCTGTGTTTGTGTGCGTGTAATTCTACACACATGTGCACTAACTTCATGAGGCGTTCGCTATCACTGGCGTGCCCCAGAGATCTGCCAAGGCCCTTGGCATGGGGGGGACGGCTTAAGTCGGCAGTGTACTCAAAGACGTGCCTTAAAAACCTAAACAAACAAAAGCACAGGACGCGTGGTTTCTTAGGAGACAGGCTGGAGTCCGCATCTCCCAACATAGCTACTGACAAAGAGAGATAAGCTTTGAGGTTTGGGCTGTAGTGTCTAGGAATGGGCACGGGTGCCAGCGTTCCCTCTAAGCTGAGTGAGTGTGAGCGAGCTCACAGTTTTTTAGCCTCCGGCTCACACATCTTTGTCTTAGCTCAAGAAGGATGGCTCCAGAGCAGACTAATTGATGCAGCAGCCAAATCGCTCCCTCACAAACTTTAATGCTCACAAAGTAGAATTTTTGCTCACGAGACGCCACAGCTTAGAGGGAGCATCGGTGCCAGTGACGGGCTGTCAAAGCTGCTTCTGACTGAGTGGCGGCCCTGTGAATGAATGACCTCCAAAACGTCCTCTCGTCAACAGCCTTATAGAGACATACAGACTGTGGTTAACGCAAGACCCAGGTCCCCAGCACCGTCTGGGGAAACCGGCAGCCGATCTCCCCCGTGGGGTGTAGCCAGGTTGTGCTTCCGGCACTCGAGTGGCACAATATGGTGGGTGGGGATGGCCCCGATCCGTGACACATGCTGTGAACCAGACCACACGGGGCGCCGTCATGCACTCGGGGCACGACCCCTTTGCCAGGACTCCAGAGAAGGGAGGAGGGCGTTTTCCACATTTCCCAAAAAGAAAGGCCAAACTCATCCTCTAGATCTTTCCAGAAGACTGGGAACGGGTATTAGAAAGTAAGGGCTACCGTTGTAAATGAGGACGGTTGCTACGGTTGCCAGGCTCCAGGTGGGGCCTGGAGATCTCCCAGCAGAGATCCGTTTCCCTGGAGAAAATGGCTGTCCGGAGGGTGGACTCTACGGTGTTCTATTCCACTGGGGTCCCTCTCCAAATCTCCAGGAATTTCCCGGACTGGAGTTGGCAACCCCGACGGTTGTCCAGTAGAGAAGTGCAATACCCCCTCCGACGCCAGCAAGGGGGAGAGACGATTTTGCCTTGTTCCAAAGGCTCTTGGCTTGCTGCTGTTCTCGACTTTCTTCTTTGAAACCTTGGCTCGATGCCCCCGCCGAGGCAGAATCTGTATTGCTGGGGGGGCGTGGGGGGCGTTAAGCCTATTCGCACAGCCTCCTGAAGAAACTGTTTACAGATTTTAAAAATAAAAGCTCAAAAAGCTGCGTGGCCCGTCTCTTGCTTTGCCATGAATCATGTACCCAATGACTGTGCTATTCACACAAGGAACACACAGAGAGAATCACCACTGCAATATTTAGAACGTGAGAAACGTCCTTTGGAATCAAAGATCTTATGTGTTTCAATATTTTCAATCCTGCTTTTCCCACCCGGGGAGTACCCAAAGCTGCTTAGTCTGCTGTAGAGCCAGTTTGGTGTCGTGGTTAGGAGTGCGGACTCCAATCTGGGAGAACCGGGTTTGATCCCCCACTCCTCCATATGCTGCTGCTGGTGTGACCTTGGGTCAGTCACAAGTTCTCTCAGAGCTGTTCTCTCTAGGGCAGTCCTCGAGAGAGAGCTCTCTCAGCCCCACCGACCTCACAGGGTGTCTGTTGTGGGGACGGGAAGGGAAAGGACATTGTAAGCCACTATGAGACTCCTTCGGGTAGTGAAGGGCGGGGTATAAATCTGATCTCTTTTTCTTATCCACACAACAACCCTGTGAGGTAGGCAAGGCTGAGAATGTGTGACTGGCCCATTTTATCCCCACAGCTACCATTCTGTGAGATAGGTTAGGCTAAGAGAGTGTGTGACAGGCCCAAGGTCACCCAGTAAGCTTCCATGGCAGGGTAAGGATTCGAACCGGGCTCTCCCAGATACTAGCCTGGAACAGTAACCACTGCATCTAACTCTCAGAGATGGTAAACGGATGTGGACATTTAGAGCAAGGTTGGTTAGATCAGACTCAATGGTCCAGCATTGGGGTGGGAAATGGAAATGACATAGAGTAGCTCTAGGAATCACCGGAAACTCTGTAGCTTTTACCATAGAGTTTCCGGTGATTCCTAGAGCTGCCCTATGCCACTTCCAGTTGTTTACTGGAATTGACATAAAACCACAGCCTGCTTCACAACCACCCTATACCCCCAATCCAGAGGCACTACCTGACAACTGTAGGCTCTATCCAATGGAAGCTTGGGCTGGAATGTTAATCTGTCAAAGTGCCAAAAGGTGTCTGTTTGTTCATACATATAATGACATCTATGTCAGCACCAAAGATGCAATTTAGGTGATAATAGCCGGCTTCTCCAGGCACAAAACATTGTGCACCCAAATGCTCAGAAAATTCCAGAACTCCACCAGGGAAGAACAACAATGAGATAGTAAGTTAACCGTCCGGACAATCCAGCCCCAAGATACAAATCTGTAGAGCTTCGCACACGCACATTACTGAGAACTGGAACAGACGTTTGGGGGCGGAGAAAGGGGGGGGAGGGACGGGAACAAGAGCACCTGGCCCTTCCCGTTTTGTTTGCTTTTTCTGAGATACCCAAAATCGCAACTTCCACATCCTGTTAGGAGCTACCCGGGCCGGGCCCTCAATGGGGACAAGATCTCCTCAGAAGAGAAGGATCCCTCAGCTGGTCCACCACACCCAAGGACCAGGGTTGGACAGGAGTCCCAAACCAAGCCCACAGCCACATAGCCAAGTGGAAACTCCACTGAGGAAATTGGGGGAACTGGGAGCACCCCCCCCCCCTAGATATGACATCTCCGCCCAGGGAACCCCTCAACCTCACCGCCGAGACCACAAGTCCCTGCTAGATACGTGGTCCAGACACTGGGGGGTCAGTACATGCTCCGGCTTCTAATCATGAACTCCTCCTCGAGGAACACCGTTCCGAACATTGCCAGAATCAGGGCCCGACTCCAAACTGCGGGATGGGCGGGGAGGCACTCAGACTCACGAGAAGACCCCCCTCAACGGAGGCCTGGCTATTGCAGGGATCACATCCAAGTGGCCAGCGCTCACCCGGCGGTTGCGTGGACGACTCCACCGCCATTTTGCTTCCTGCCAACCCGGCCCCGATCCTCTCCTTTACAGGCCAACCTGTGCCTGGCAACTGCCACAGACAGGAGGCTTCCCCTCCACCATAAACTGCGCTCAGGTCCAAACAAGGGAGAGCTTTTGGGTCACCGCCTGGGGGTCAGGGGAGCAGGAGGAAGCGTTCCCGGGCCTCACCCATCACTGCTAAGATGACGGCTCCAACGATCATGACGCAGGTCTGAAGAGCATCGGTGTAGATGACCGCGGCCAAGCCACCTGCAGGACACAAACACACACACACACACACACACGGGGATGGCAAATCAGAATGGATGTTGCTACCATAAGACACAAGGACATAAGAGAAGCCAATGTTGGATCAGGCCAATGGCCCATCTAGTCCAAGACAGACCTGGGGTCATTTCGTAGAAAAAGAGGTGCGGGAGCTCATTAGCATAACTCATTAGCATAACTTGTTTGCATAGGCCACACCCCCTGACATCACCGGTAGATTAAATTCTGACATGTGACAGGGGGGGTGTCACAGGAAGGGAGAGAGGAGATGCAGAGTTTCCCCTCTGGGGATCCAACGTGGCTGATGTCATTCCCCTCTGCTCCATTTGTATCCTTAAAACAACCCTGTGAGGTAGGCAAGGTTGAGAGCATGTGACTGGCCCAAGGTCACCCAGCAAGCATCCACGGCAGGGTGGGGGATTCGAACCCGAGACTCCCAGATCCTAGTCCATTACTATTAATATTATAACAGTGAGAACGACAGTAAATAACCTATTTAACACATCTTATACCACCTCTCCAGAGAGACGCCTAATTAGAAAAATAAAACATATAATAAAAACAAGGCACAACAACAACGGCATCACTTTATTAACCAAATATTGTAACGGCTGATTAATTAAAAGAACAGCTATGAAAACAGCGTAGAATTAGCATGAGACACACCACAAAAAGCGGAAAGCAACTATGTGACGGGATTCTTACTGTTGTATTTATACCTGATTCCTCTCTGGATCGGCTCCCTCCAAAGTAGGGTTGCCAGGTTCCAGGTGGGGCCTGGAGATTTCCCAGAATTACATGTGATCTCCAGACTACAGGTATCATTCCCTATGATTGCCAGGCAACCAGCGGGGGCGGGGGGCTTGCCAGGAGCAGCTGGGAGGCCCATCCGACGTACAGTGACATGTCTATGTCACTGCCCACATGACCTGGAAATGACATCAGCACACCAGGGATGTCTGGGCAAAAACTCTATGGCAAATTTGGCTTCTACCATAAAGTTTTTGTCCACCTACCAGAGCATCGCCCTGACGTCCCAGATGTCATGACGTCACTTCTGGGTCATGTGGGAAGTGATACAGACGTGTCGCTTAGACCTGCCAAATCTCGCCAAATCGCGGCGGGGGATCTGCATGTCTTTGCAGAATCCTTGCCGCGGGGATGGCGAGATGCGTTACACCGCCGGACATGACGATATACATCGCTCTGGCAATGGGGCTGTCTGGAGCCCCGTTGCCAGAGCGACACATGGTGTCAGACCCTGGTGACAGTGGGTGCAACGCGTCTCACTGTCTCCGCGGCAAGGATTCTGTAAAGACCTACGATCCCCCGCCGCGACTTGGCAACCCTAGTGTCGCTGCAGGTCGGAAGGATCTCCCTCCTTTTCAGGGTAAGTTCCCCCCCCCATCCACCGGCCAGCTGATCAGCAGTGAGGAGGCAGAGTCTGTCAGCGGGAAACTCCCACCTCCACCAAGGGTCTGGCAACCCTCTAATTCCCCCTGGAGAAAATGGCTGCTCTGGAAGGTGGATTCTATGATATTATACCCTGCTGAGGTCCCTCTTCTCCCCGGAGTCCATCCCCAACTCGTCAGGAATTTCCCAGCCTAGAACTGGCAACTCTTCCAAAAGCAGCCTCACAGCACCCCAACTATGTGGAGTGACGCACCCTTCTTCCTGGACAAGGCCTTATATGCTGTCTCAAGGCTCCGCCTCCTCAACCACGATTGGCTCCCATTTTTCCCTCCGTTCCCCCTGGTCCAATGAAGGCCAACAGGAAAATTGGCAGCAAAGCCTGAGGGGTTTTTGTGTGTATGAGGAAAAGGCTGTCTTGAGGCCTACAGACCACACCGCCCCTCAGCCTCGCCTCCAGGATCATGGGGGGTGGGGTTCCCTCTTAAATTTAGTTGCCCCTTCCCTCTAAAACCCTGTCATTAAAATCTGGATTTCTGCCTAGGAGTTCTGGTAGCCACATTCTAAAGCTGAAATCATCATTCTCTCCTCTAAAACCCTGTCGTTAAAACCTGGGTTTCCAATGCTGAGTTTCAGTAGCCGCATTTTACTGCTGAAATCTGAATTATCTCCCCATTTTAAGAAATGGATTGCCACAGAACTATGGATGAATTTTCTACATGTCACAGGAGCTGGAGGACGATGCCCCACTGTCCTCGTCACTCGAACTCCCCGACGTCCTGACTTCTGCCACTCTGGTTTGCCTGCCCGTCCCGCGCCTCACCGGAGGATAAAGGCCTCAGACACCTGGAGCGTGGGGAAGGTTAAGTCACCGTTCCCTCACTGCTCCCTGCTGGATGTAGCCGGTTGCTTCTCTCTGTACCTTCCGTCATCCAGGAGTCATCCCTGGCCGCCTCCTTTCTCCCCCTTTTATTCCCTGCTTCCCCGTCCCAGCATGCCCTGCCTTCCCCTGGGTCGTTCCCCCTCTCTGGCCCCGCCCCCGTACAAAGAGCGCAACGCTCCCCCGTGGGTGTGGTCAGGCTTCCAATGTGCCGGGCGCTTCTCCACGCCGCCCGTTGGCGTGGGCGTGCTCGCGCGCCGGCTCCGGGGCTTGCCGCTGTCTCCTCTGCCCTCGCCTTCCGCCCCCCGCCCCCGCTCCCCGCCGCCGGCTGCCCTGCTCCTCCCGAACCTTCCCGAGGCCTGTCTGGTAAGCGTTGCTGCGGGAGTGTTGCTGAGCAGTCGTCTGGGGTCGGGGAGCCGAGCCTCGGGGGGTCGGGAGTCCCGTTCCCGGGACACTACATATGCATTTTGATACATGGGTTGACCTTGGGCCAGCCTCACACTCTCAACTGAGCCTACCTCACAGGGTGGTTGAGAGGATAGGGGAATGATATAAGCAGTTTCCCCCCCCCCCCACTGAGATAGGAGGGGCAGAAGTGGAGTCAATGATTATATATTTCAAATACAAATTCGGTTTTTCCACATATGTGAAACCAGGGGTCATTTCATAGAAAAAGAGGTGCAGGAGCTCATTAGCATAACCCATTAGCATAACTTATTTGCATATGCCACACCTCCTGACATCACCGGAAGTGTGTTAGAAGGCAACACCCACCGCTCAGGCTCCACTGGACTCTTTTGGATTGCTAGCTATCGGGGAGGGGTGGGGGACATGCAGATCTGTCCTCTCAGAGGAGGGAGAGCTTGTACCTGAAGGCAGGCCGGGGGGGGGGCCTCTGCAGCTTACCTGGCTGCTTCTTGCTCTGGCTGAGGGCTGCTGGGAGCAGGGGGTGGGGCTTGGTGCATGTGCCCGACCCCTGGGCTCTTTACTGCCGGAGCTCCGCTCCTGTGCGCTCCTGCAGGAAATGACCCCTGTGTGAAACTGGTCTAAGTTTCAACGTATGCGAGTCTTCCTTTAGCAAGGATCCCAGGAGCTCATTTATACCAAAGCTGACCCACCTAGCCTACTCTGGCAGTCTTTCCCAAACAGAAATCCTTTCAAAACTGATGATTCGGAGACTCATCTATGAACATCTATGGGATTGAGACCTTCTGACCTGTGCAGAGCGATTAAGCACCGGGCAGAAAATTCAGTGGAAAAGAACCAGGATGGTTCGCAGTGGGGAAACTCTCATAGGCTGTGTGTTCGAGGTTCAATCCAAACCCAGCTTTGAATTCGCACTTGGGACAACCATCTGGTGCAGGGGTCCCCAACATGGTGCCCCCCAACACCTTTCCTGATGCTTGCTAAGTGCTTTCAGAAAGTGGGCGGGGCTAGGCGGGGCTTTTACCCAGCAGGGCTTCTGATTGGCTGTGTAGATTAAAAGGGCATCCTCTTTAAAAGAGCTTCTGCCTGAAATGTTGACGAGTTACTATGAAAGTTACACATAACCCTCGTTCCCTGACATTCTGTGGCTGACTCTGCCTCCTACGTCAGTCATTTTGTGATTGCTCCACCTACTGAGGCAGCCATTTTGTTGCTGTGCCCACCGCCCTGTGTCAGAATTCCAAAGGGAGGTGGTAGTTCCGCTCTATTCTGCTATGGTCAGGCCTCACCTGGAGTCCTGTGTCCAGGTTTGGGCCCCACACTTTAGGAAGGATGTTGACAAGCTTGAGCATGTCCAGAAGAGGGCAACCAAGATGGTGAGAGGGTTGGAATCCAAGTCTTACGGGGAAAGGCTGAAAGAGCCTGGGAAAGAGAAAGCTTAGAGGGGACATGATTGCAGTCTTCAAGTATCTGAAGGGCTGTCATGTAGAAGATGGAGCAGATCTCTTCTCTCTTGCTCCGGATGGCAAGACTAGATCTAACGGGTGGAAATGACAAGGGAGTTGTTACCGGCTAAATATCAGGAGAAACTTCCTAACTGTAGGAGTGGTTGAGCAGTGGAACAGACTGCCTCGGGAGGTGGTGGGTGCTCCGCTGGATGTTTTTAAGCAGAGGCTGGATGACCATCTTTCGGGTATGTTGTAGGGCTGTCTTTCGGCTATGCTCCTGCAGAGTGCAGGGGGTTGGACTAGATGACCTGCAAGGTCCCTTCCAACTCTAACATTCTATGATTCTATGATTCTAGGTGCCCACAGGCTCAAAAATGGGGGCCCCAGATTTAGAGCATTACCTGCAATTGTGTAAACCGCCGTGACGGCCAGCATCAGGACAGTGGAGAGATAGAGGTTCCATCCCAGGCAGACTTGAACAAAGAGGGCTCCCGAATACAGGTCCGTCTGCAAGAAGAAACACAGCCAGGGATCTTGATCGGGTCTTGGACAGAGGCCAAGGAAGTCCATCTGATTTTGATTTTATGTATGTTATTAACAGCCTGCCTTTCTCGCTTGAGACTGAAGGCGGGTTATGTAAAGCCAGTCAGGACAATCAACAGGATGAAGAGTCATCTAAGAAACATTGCAATAGGGCCAGGATTGCCGGAATCCGACACAAGGTGTCATAAGTATTAAACATGACAAGCTAAGCAATGCGAGAAATGTTGCTTTGGCAGAAGTCGCCACCGCAGCACAAGGATCTTCACCGAGTGATTGAAGGTAAGCTGTGGCAGCCATTTTGTGACAGCCATTTTGTGGCTGCGCCCACCACCCTATGTCAGAATTCCAAAAGTGCCCGCAGGCTCAAAAAGGTTGACATACAACAGCAGATAATACATTTTAGCAGCATACACTAAAGTCCCTTTCCCTCTAGGGCTGCCAAGCTGGGGTCAGGAATCCCCCGCTCCAAGTTCCCATTCTGTGTTGCTGCTTGCAGTGGCAGCAGGGGGGGAAATTTTAAAAAATCACTGGTGTCACCCGCACAATGACATCACTTCTGGGGAATACCCAGGAAAGACAGCAGTAGCTCTAGGGATCGCCTGAAACTCTATGCCCAGTGATTCCCCAATATTCCCCAGTATACTTCCTGTATTCCCAGGAGGTGAACCCCCACACTATATCCCTGCCCCACCACCCTCCCGCTGGTTCCAGATCCACTCCAGAAAGCACTTCAGAGTCCTGCTGTACTTTAAACTGCAAACTCCTTACACCGGTGTAAAGCACTCTCGGACTATTCCCACAACAGTGGGTTGCACAGGCAGCCACGGTGATGGCAAGCTGCTTCCCCAGTTGAATTTCTGGCTGTCAGATCAGCACTGGATTCGATTTTTTCCCACTGCTTCCACCGTATGGACTGAGTTCCCCTCCCGTTTTTCTACGGGCCAACGTTCCTGTGCCTTGAACAGCCAAAATCTGTACCCTGCCCAAGGCGGATCGCAACTGGAACAATAAAACAAGTTCAGGACAACAAATCACATTATAAAAACCAAGTCATTAAACCAGTGGAACAGAGAGATTTAAAAAAGCAGAGCCGTATAAACAAGCCAAGCGAGGGCGAAAAAAAGCATATAAAACAAACCAAGCAGTTGAAATTAATATTAATGAAATAGGCCTCAGGCAGAAAACGGGCAGTAAAACAACTAGAAAGAAACACGGGTAAAAAGAAACGTTTTCGGTTTGGCATTAAAAAAAAAAAGTAAGGCAAGCAATCAGGACGAAGTAGATATCCCTGCAACAAATGGGGACTGTTTAAAGAGTATGGGGGGCCTTTTCAGTGGTCAGGCACTCCACACATGCTCAGGAGCACTCTCTTCACTGCAGCGAAGGACGAAACAAAAACAGACCGAGCTGCTTTGTGAGGTGAAAGGTTTTAAAATTTCTGTAGGTTAGCTCACTGCAACTTTGGAGGATCCACGTTTTCTATTTTACCTGCTGTTACCTGCTGCTCATAACTTACATTCTCAGGTGTGTGAGGACAGATTTGGATCGGCATGGTAACGTGCCGGAAGACTGAATTTAAATATGGCCCCTGTACCGTTTTCCTCAAGGACCCAATGTGTACCTAGTTGAGGTGCACACTTAAGTTTCGTTTTGATGTTCGTTCCAGTTTTGAGAATAGTGTTCTAATGTGATGTGATGCCGAAGGTGACATACTCTGATGAAGAACTGCCGCAAACGAGAGCAGACCTAGGCTTCTCATCAGTTGGTTGCTCTGGTGCACAATGAAGTTCCCTAAAAAGTCAAACTGATAGTGGGCATGCAGTCAAGTTTCCTGCAGAGCCAAACTGATTGAATTCATTGCCATTCTATTTGTAATTGAGGTCTTTGGAAACAATCGTTCACGACCTCACTTTGCCAACTAGAGACATTGTTTAGATCCGGTTCCTGTATCGCAGATGTCTGTATTATTATAATACTAGGAAAAAGGCCCGTTGTGGAAATAAATACAACGGCCTCTAGAAAGAGGCTCTGGGCGGGTGCCGCGGCCTTGGACACTCAGTGTCAATTTGCTGTGGCGACCTCAGCAGGGTATAATGGGTATAATGACACTGAGTCCACCATTTTCTCCAGAGGAACTGATCTCTGCTATCTAAAGAACAGTTGTAATTTTGAGTGATCTCCAGCCCTCACCTGGAGATTGGCAACGATGGTTCCCCAGAAGGGAATAGTTGGTTTGGAGGGTGGAATCTATGGCTTTGTACCTGTCTGAGGTCCCACGCCTCCTGAAACCTCACCCTCTCTAGGCTCCATCCTTCACATCTTCAGGAATTTTCCACCTGGAGTTGGCAACCCTGTCTCCTTCCCAGCCAATCATCAATCTCTTCAGCTTTCCACCCCACTTCAGCTTTCCACCCCACACACACCTGCAGCCTCTCCCATGCTCTGAAGCCCTGACTGCTATGTCACATTGGCTGTCATATGGGAGCCACCTCAGCAGCATATAAGGATAGAGAGCCCATTTTCTCCAGGGGAACTGATCTCTGCCATCTGGAAAGCAGTTGTAATTCTGAGTGATCTCCAGCCCTCACCTGGAGATTGGACATATTTTACCTCAGAACAGCAAAACTGTTTAGAATGTTAGAGGCAAAAGCCCATCAAGTCGCATATGCAAACGACCTGTGTTCCGAGGCAAAGGCCAATGAGGCTGCATATGCAAATAACCTCTGTGTTCTGACTGGCTATGGGGGGGAGAGGAACAGCAAAATGTTTAGAATGTTGGAGGCAGGACTCAGGCGAAGCAGCCAGTGGATAGGGAGACCCTCTGAATGACAGATCAGAGAGCGAACTGATTTTGGAGCGTGTGGAATGTTCTAGAGAAGTGCCATCACCATTCGGCTTTTATTTATAGGGAGATTATGAGTGTTGTAACCAGTAGTGCCACTGTGTATTTTGAAGTATTGTTTGTGTCAACTCTATAATTGTAAGTTTTCAAGAAGACATAACACAAGCCTTTGTTATATAAAATTACTGATTTATTAGTTCTTGGCATACTGAAAGTAGCAACGGCATATCACACAGTATTTTTTTCTCTTCTGTGTTACCAAATAGGGATGCCAGCCTCCAGGTGGGACCTGGGGATCCCCCAGAATCACAGCTCATCTCCAGACTACAGAGATCAGCTCCCTGGGAGAAAATGGATGCTCTGGAGGATGGACTCTGTAGCATTGTGCCCCACTGAGGTCCCTGTCCTCCCCAAGCTCCACCCCCAAATCTCCAGGAATATCCTAACCAGGGGTCATTTCGTAGAAAAAGAAGTGCAGGAGCTCAATAGCATAACTCATTAGCATAACTTATTTGCATATGCCACACCCCCTGACATCACCGGAAGTGTGTCAGAAGGCAACACCCACCGCCCAGGCTCCACTGTACTCTTTTGGATTGCCAGCTATTGGGGGGGGGGGACATACAGATCTGTCCTCACAGAGGAGGGAGAGCTTGTACCTGAATAAAACTTGGTCTTAAAGATGCCACTGGACTGTTTTGGACTGGAGGGGGGCTCTGCAACTTACCTGGCTGCTTCTTGCTCTGACTGAGGGCTGCTGGGAGCAGGGGGCGGGGCTTGTTGCATGTGCCCGCCCCCTGGGCTCTTTACTGCCGGAGCTCTGCTCCTGTGTGCTCCTGCCGGAAATGACCCCTGATCCTAACCTAGATCGGGCAACCCTACGGCAATGGCCATGGGGGACCTATCAACCCTACTCCCGAAGAAGTCAGGGTTTTGTTCAGGGTGACCACCCCATTTTTTTAACTTCACAACAAGCCTGCGAGGTTGGGCCGGAGTGAACCTTCTTGAAGACACTCATCGAGTTTTTCACGAGTGGCGAACCCGGGCCCTCCCTCTTCCCTCCCTCTTTGTGCCAAGACGTTCAGCAGTTGGTTCTTCGCCCGTTTCCCCAGCCCCGCCTCCAAGTCTGCCTGCCCCGCGAGGAAATTCCAGGAGGCTCTTCGGATCCGCCTCCTCCTAAGAAGCGCTGCCAAAGGAGGGCCCAGTCGCCGCCCCGGTTTTCTGCAAGCTCAGCAGATGCTTTTGCTGGCCTCCGGCTCCCTCTGGGGCGAGATGATGACGGAGGAGGCAAGGCGGAAGGCGGCAGGTGGGGTGAAGCCGGTGTTTTCGCTCCCCGACTTGAAGGGATCTGTCCTGCTGGCACCTGCCCCAGCTCTGGAAGCAGTGCCCACGCTTGCCTCCAAAACCTTGAAAAACTGTCTTCAAGGAGAGGGGCCGGCCGTGAGCTGAAGCACACGGATTTGCCAAAACGTTGCTAGAATTCAGAGGGAACTCATGACCCGGGGCGGTGGGGATCGCATGGACCTTTTCCGGCCGTGCGTGGCTTGTTCTTCGTCTCACCCCTGGACGACTTGCCGGAACACACCCTCATGAGGACTAGAACCCCAAGTTCACTTAGCCTCCTAGGAAAGGGCCAGTTCAAATACACACTGACTACTCCCCCTGCCTTTGCCGTCAACTTGCAGCCGACTTGTGGTGACCGCATGGGGTTTTCAAGACAAGAGATGTTCAGGGGTGGACTTCCTTGGTGGTCATCCATCCAAGTGCTTACCAGGGCCGACTCTATTTACCGTCTGAGATCTGATGAGATCGGGCTTGCCTGGGCCATCCAGGTCAGGGGAAGAGACTAACAGAGGTGGTTCGCCATGGCCTGCCTCTGCGTAGCAACCCTGGACTTCCTTGGTGGCCTCAAATCCAAGTACTGACCAGGGCCGACCTTGCTTAGCTTCTGAGATCTGATGAGGTCAGGCTAGCCTGGGAACATCCAAGTCAGGGCAGAGACGGACAGAGGTGGTTCGCCATTGCTTGCCTCTGCGTAGTGACAGGGCCGGCCCCAGCTTATTTTGCATCCGAGGCGAGGATCCCTTCTGGCGCCCTCCCCCCCATGCGCCCACCATGGCTC